ATGGCTGACGATGGAACTTTTATGGTCAGCGGGTTTCGAGGATTAGGTTGGCAACAGCCTTTCATCAACCTTCCCAGAATTGCAAATGTCAAATCATGAGTTTTGTTTCACGGCAATTTGCAATAATAATTCTGGTCAAGTTGAAATTTAAAACTTATTTGCTTTTATCTCCGTTGCAATCCACAGGTATGCACCTCGTAAGTAGTATTTCGGTAGATTTCTTCAATTATTCTGATACTGCCAAAATCAAATAAGCTGGATCAATTGGATGTCAGGCAGTATGGCATTGCAAAGAGAATCCCTTTTTAGAGTGCTCCAGTGTCGAAATGCTTTTGGATGGTCGCCTGCTGTTCAGATCTTAACAAGATTATGAAATGGTGTTACAGGTTTTCTTCATAATACGGTAACAGCGGCTGTCGGAATATTTAAGTCTAGAGTGATTTCTGGGAGAGGGGAACGAGCTGTGGTGCAGTATGTTAGTTGGTTGCTTGACATTTTAAGTTCAAACCCCGTGCGTGGCGAATATTACTTCTAACGTTATTAACTGCTAGGGCAGCAAGGACAACATTTGATTGTGCTTCGGTACAACCAGATGAGAAACAGGTAGTACGTCGGGGATCATACAGATTGTGTGGTATTCTGGAAGAGTCATGTCAGAATGGAGAGCAGGTATACGGCCATGCTATCCGATGCCTTGTACCCCTTGTAGCTGCATTTCCTCCTGGCCCAGCTGGTAGTTTAACATCTAATATAATAACCAGCAGGAAATATTGCGCCCGTTTCTGATTTTAGAGTAATTTCTGTTATCTTCTTTGGATAAACGCCATGATTCCCAACATTAACATAGGTGAAATTTAACTAATGCAATTTGAAATTTTTAGGCTCGCAAATTAGCGAAAGACCCAGCCGTCAAGTTGGAAGAGCAACAGCCGGAATTGGCGCAGTGGGTTTTTTCATCGAGCGAAAGCGAAGACGAAGAAAGCGACGCGGAAACGAAGAACGTAAATCTCTAGCCTTTTTCATCGATGCTGCTGCTTTCAAGTTTTATTTGCAGACAACGGCTAAAGGTAGCGAAGCTATCCCTGAGATTAGAACCGAAAAGGTGCAAGAGCAAGTCGTCGAGGAAGAGGTATGGTTGTATTCATGGTTTCTCATGTCCGCCGTTTCATTGATATTCAGCCATGTTCTTAATCAGTGCTTTCGTTTTGCAAATATTGTATATTTAGTACAATTTAGTTTTATGATTAATTTTATAGTCCCCTCTACACTTTCTTATGTGTCCAATCCGTCGTATAGCATTGTTGTCTGCACCTCACTTTATTCCAGAATAGTTTGTTTTTTGTAGTTTGTTTTATGAATTTCCCTCAAATTTTCTCGTAGAAAGATCACTAAACATTTTTACCACACGTGCTAGAATACTATAAATTCATGGAAATAAAATTAGTATTGTTTTTATTATTGTTGTTACCTATTTAATAAATACGAAAATGGTGACTTTTAT